TGCAGCATCAGTCATATACAACATCAGTAGATGCATCATCAGTCATATGCAGCATCACAACACTCCCCCTCAAGCTGGATCGAGGAGGTTAATCGAGCCAAGCTTGCCCAGAAAATGATGGAATGGAGTAGAGGCCAGAGCCTTGGTAAAGATATTTGCTAGTTGATCATGGCTTCGCGTGAAGATGGTCCAGATGACTTCAGTTTGCACTTGCGTTTTAACAAAATGATAGTCCTCTTCAATGTGTTTAGTTATTTCATGGAACACAGGGTTAGCAGCAATGTGCATGGCTGCTTGATTATTACACATAAGAGACATGATAGTAGTACTAGTAAACCCTAAGTATGAAAGAAGTCCTTTAAGCCATATAAGTTCACATGCAGTGGCTTCCATAGCTTGATATTCAGCCTCTGCACTGGAGCGAACAATGACATGTTGCTTCTTGCTCTTCCAAGTGACAAGATTTCCACCAACAAGAGTGTAATAGCCCGTGGTAGATTTCCTATCAAGTGCATTCCCTGCCTAATCTGCATCAGTGTAGCCACTGATAGCAGTGGAATTGTTATTACGCATGATGATTCCTTGTCCTATTGAACCCTTGAGATAACGCAGGACTCTCTTAACCATGTTAAGATTATCAACTATAGGAGAACGCATAAATTGGCTTGCCAAGCTCACTGCATATGTGATATCAGGACGTGTGATGGTGAGATATATAAGTTTGCCCACCAATCGTTGATAGTAGCTCACATTATGCATGGCTTCTCCATCTGTGTTGAGCTTTAGTTTAGAGTCCACGAGAGTGATGGTAGGTTTGCAATCAAGCATGTTTGCTTCTTGAAGAAGATCCAATACATATTTTCGTTAATGTAGAAACAATCCCTTTAAAGAGGTTGCCATTTCGATGCCCAAAAAATACTTCAGCTTTCCCAGGTCTTTGATAGCAAAGGTTTGGTGTAGTGAGAGTTTTAGTCTCGGCACTATCTCTTGTGATGATGAGATCATCCACATAGATAAGCACTACCAATTTCCCATTAGTGCCAATTCTTACAAACAATGAGGAGTCAGAATTACTTCGTATGAATCCAACCTTTTCTAGAACTGAGCTGAGCTTGGCATACCAAGCTTTTGGGGATTGTTTCAATCCATAAATTGCCTTGTGTCTCTCGATAGAACCATCAGCCTTGAATTTAATCTTGTAAATCCAAAGACTTCCAACAGCCTTTTTTCCTAGTGGTAGTTGAACCAAGCTCTAAGTTTTATTTTCTTCTAGAGCATGAAGCTCATCTGCCATGGCTTGATTCCATTGTGGGAGGAAATATGCCTTTTGAAAGCATCTAGGTTCAATGTGTTTATCAATTTCACAGAGAAATGCAACATGAAATGTTGAGAACTCACCAAGGCTAATACTTTCACTGATAGGATATCGTGAGGCATAAGTAATATAGTTTTGCAGCCTAGTTGGAGGTTTTCTGGTTCGAGGAAGATTTCTTCTAAGCCTTTGAGACTCTGTAGGAGATTGTGAAAGATCAAAATGAGACTCCTCGTCTCCCTCATTGGCAGGGATACGATGATCAGAGATTGAGTTAGGTTGTATTTCTTCAATATCTGGTGTCACAACAATTGAGCTTTCTTCCAACACTGGATTATTAATGACCGGAGGAAGTGGAAACATTTCAAATAGTTCATCCCCCTGACCTGCAGTATTCCCTTTGTGAGTAAAATAAAGGCAATCTTCTTCAAATTTCACATCCATTGACACAACACACTTCTTAGTGGCTGGATTGTAGCACTTGTATACCCCACAAACACACACTTGGTTGCCCTAGCATTTAATTTTTCATGGTTCAAGGCTTGAATGTGAACAAAGCAAACACATTCAAATACCTTGAGGTGTGTCAAATCAATTTTTCTACCCTTGAGTACTTCATAGGGAGATTTAAACCCTAGCACAAAACTTGGGAGTCGGTTAATGAGATAAGTGGTAGTGAGGATGGCTAATGACCAAAATTTCTTTGGAACATGCATGTGAAGCATAAGAGCACAAGTCTTCTCCAAGAGATCTCTATTTTTTCTCTCGGCTACTCCATTTTGTTGAGGAGTCCCTACACAGTTAGTTTGATGTATTATGCCCTGAGAACTTATGTATTGAAGCATGTTGTTGGATAGAAATTCAGTGCCATTATCTGATCTCAACACCTTAATGTCTGATTGAAATTGTGTTTTAACATGTATATGAAAATCTTTGAAAATAGTTTGGACTTCACTCTTTGATTTCATAAGATACACAAAACTCATTCGAGAGAAGTCATCAACAAATAAGACAAAGTACCTAAACCCTTCTATTGATTCAGTTGCTGGTCCCCATACATCGGTGTGCACCATTTCAAAACGTTTACTTGTCCTGGACATTGAGTTATCAAAAGGTAGTCTAGTAAACTTAGAAGATTGACAAGTATCACAAGTAAAACTTAGAAGATTGATAAGTATCACAAGTAAAATGTGATTTACAAAAATTTGGAAACAGTTTAGACAAGATAACTTCAGTGGGGTGAGCTAATCTCTTATGCCAAAGTTGGTTTTCATCTATGGACTTCGATTGAGCTTGAAGAGCCTGAGTAAAACAGGTGTTCTTACACAGGTAATAAAGTCCATTTATGAAGACCCCTTCACCAATCATCTTCATGGTGAGAACATCCTGAAACTTCACGTTATTTGGTGAGAAAATGGCACGGCAGCTTAGGTGTTTATGATCTTTCCAATTGATAGAAGTTGGAAGGAAAGGTTGGTACGTATAAGGCAGTGGAAGGTGTTTTGTGTGAGAGTAAGTTTATTCCTCCTTTTCCCAAAACTAAAACAATTTTTCCATTTGCAACATGTTGTACTTTTATGCGCAAACGGAAGCGAATTATAACAAAGTACCAAATATCAATGTCGTAGGTGAAAGCTAAAACAAACAATCTTAAACTAACACAATAGATTTATGTGGTTCGGCGTAAGGCCTACGTCCGCGAGCAAAGCACGGCGAGAAATTTCACTAAACAAATGGAGATTACAAAAGAGTGTTTAAACTCTCACAACCCAAATCCCACAAATTACAAACCCTAAACCAAATGAGCAGAAAACCCAAAACTAACGGAGAAGATTCTCCCAAATTGCTCTCTAACTCACAAACTCACAAATTGACTCTCACCAAATTGCCACATGAATGAGCCACGAATTTGCCACACACTCATGACTCCAAACGATGACCTCCCCCCAAAACCAAAATAGAGAAAAGCTCTAAACCATGATGAGGCACACTAAATACACTAACCCTAAGGTCCTATTTATTTAGGTTACAATAGGAGTCCTAATAGGAAATAAATCCAAATCCTAATCAAATAGGTAATTAACAAAATCTCTCCACCAAGGAAACTAACTAAGAAGTCAAAACCAAACCCAATTAGGACACCAAAACCAAATAGGTAACACAAACCTAATTTATTGCATCATCCTAATTTTGAGCCAAAAACCCAACACAACAGACACATGTGAGGGATTTGAAAAACGTTTAAAATGATTCAAATTTGTGATTTTGTTTGTCATATGATCTTTGGGTCTTGAATCAATTATCCAACAATCATTTTCAGTTCTAGTTAACAAGGCAGTAGTGAATGCTTTGAGTATACCTGGTGCTTCATCTCGTGAAACTTTATCATTTTCAGCAAGAAAGCCGGCAAATTGTCCTAACATGGCTGCATGATTGTTCTCTTCATTTCCTTGAGCTTGCGAACCTCCTCTGTGTTCCTTACTTTGAAGATAAGCTGCAAACTCATTGATAAGAGACAATGGATTGGCAGAGAACTCCATGGATCCTTGTGAGACAATAGAGGGATGAACATTAGCAAGTTGGGCTTTGTATTGAGGTTGAAATTGTTGTGAGGACCTTGGTATCATTTTTCCATCTTTGCTGAACTTAGGCTTGAGTTCAGGATGAAGTTCCCAACACTTGTCTTCCACATGACCAATGTCATTGCAATATTTGCATTTCAGGTGTGGATTTCTACCCTTGTACACCTTAGCCTCTGAGGTCTTGTAATTTGAGGCATATTCACAAGTCTCAGTCAATCTCGAGTTATGCCCAACATTCATTATTTTCTTCCTTGCTTCTTCTCATTGGATAGTTGCACAGATATTGTTGAAGGTGGGAAGCTCTTGACTCATCAAGACGTGATTCCTTAGATCTTCATACTTGGAGTTCAAACTCCCTAATAGCTGGCAGATTCTGTCTTCCTCGGCTTGTTTAAGAAGAATAGCAGGATCTGCGATATGTGGAAGGTAAACATCCAACTCATTCCACATAGCCTTGAGGCGTCCAAGGTGTTGAACAAATGCTTTCCCTTCTTGTTGGGCACTGGCAATGTCCTTCTTAAGTTGAAAGACACGTGCATAGTTGTTTTGATTTCCATACATATCCTGCAAGGCTTTCCAAAGCTCACATGAAGAATTGTAGTAGCTAAAAATCTCAGCAACATGTTTCTCCACGATGTTGAGCAGCAAGGACATGACAAGTTAACCCTTGCAAAGCCATGCACCATATGTAGAGGAAGAGATGTCTAGAGCTTCCACACTTCCATTTACAAACCCTAATTTCCTTTTACCTTCGAGAGCAAGAGACACAGCTCGAGACCAAAGGAGATAACTAAACTCATTCAAGAGAACTGAACACAAACGTTGATTGGTGTTAACCTCGATGTCTGAGAAATTTGAAGGAGAGGTATGCGAGATGTCACCCTCTATGCTTACTGAATCTTCTTTAACCATGGCTTAAGATTGAAGGAAAGATGCAACGGAAAAAATGGCCAGAGGCAGGTTACAAAACCTGCTCTGATACCATGTAGATTTTCTGGTTTAAAGTTTCAATGTATATTTCATGTATGTTTGTACAAGAGTGAATCCAGGTATATATGAGAAGAGAGAGGGAAAAGAGATGGGAAAGATGGCTGTAGCAAGCAGTCGACAAGAAAGAAGAAGGCATGTTGCCTACCTGATCTAAACCTTACACAAAGACATTACACCAATCAGTCTCCTCCCTTAAATCAAGGGAAACGTGATTTACATACCCTTACCCTAAAGATTACAATGAGCCTTACCCTAGAGATTTACCCTAGGGGTCACCTTGGTAGTAGACTCTATATGCAGCATCAGTAGATGCAACATCACAACACCATCAAATTATAGAAAGTCATAGTTATGAACATCATAAATACAAAGTCTGAAAAAGATATTGAAAAACCCTTAGAGAACCCTTGGTGTCTGGCTTCCTCCTTCGGTCAATCGGCTCAAACAATCTGATAACGTGAGTTCTCCCTTCCACGCTGCTGCACCTACTCCTTTAAATAAACATCGAAGGAAAAAAAAAATAGAGTTTTGGTCCATCCTTCCTGCATTGTTCAATTCCAGCCCAAATAGGAGTCCTAATATTATTAAACTTCAGTTTCCAAACTCAACCTGAACTTCACTTATTCGGAATCGCGCATGAATTCCTAAACTAACATTCTCGCACTAAAACAGGTATAATTTCTTCTAGAAGTATCAGAATCATGATCTGTAAAATTTTGTCGAAACTAGACATCTAGAGCTTTCCGTATGTATGTGGCACAACACACAGTTCATTCTGATGAATTTCTGACCACCCAACGAAAATGACAATTATGTGTAGCACCTTCTAGCTCCAATTACAATTTCCAAACAGCAGCCATTAATTTACGGATTAAACAAATTTGCATCTGATGATCATTGGAATACTTCTTGACTTCAGTTTTTCCCAGGTTTGATCTCTTTTAGCCTTAAAATCACCAAAAAACTCCAAAGTCTTCTCTACGGTCCATTATCTGCAAAATATGCACTAGGCACATCAAACAACCAATTTCACAAGAAAACATAACATAAAACTTAGGAAATAAAGGCAATATAAATGTATAAATATTGTGTTATAAACGCATTACTAGTCTTTGTTGAAGGTTAGACTTGAATTGGAACGAATGTTTAAAAAGTGCAACCATATAGCCACTAGCTAGCTAGTAATTAAAAAGAAATTAACAACCAATATAAATTCGTAAAAATTGAAAAGAATAAACATGCACATAACATTGTCGAACTTAGGATCCCTCATTAATTTTAAACAACAAAAAACCATTACTTCTTATTAAACTTCTTGATCATTTAATCAAATTTCATATATTTAAACTCTTATGAAAAGATATTTGTAAAAATTGTAAAGTGTAAAAAAAAAAAAAAAACACATAGTGTTTCAAACCCATGACCTCCTTGTTAATTTTAAACAACATAAACCACTACTAATGGTCAAACTTTTTGATCATTTGGCCAAATTTTATATTTACTCATATGAAAAGAAATTTATAAAAATTAGAAAATATATAAACACACATGGTGTTTCGAACCCAAAACCTCCTCATTAATTTCAAACACAAAAACCAATAATTCTAGTTAAACTTTTTTGTCATTTAACTAAATTTTATAAATTTATACTCTTATGAAAACATATATGAATATACACCCTAACATTTTTGGTGCCCCTAATTTTTTTGGGCCCCGAACAATCGTCCAGCCCGCACTGAGCCTGAGCCGGCCCTGAGCACTAGACAATCTATCCAATTTACCGTGCTTTCTAAGACTTGAAGCATGGAGCTCCATGATTAACATGCTCTCCTCAAAACAACGTCATATGTTACATGATATGAAATAAACCCAAATACTTCTAATTGTATACTAGATTTATCTTCGAACAATTTAAGCCCTTCTTACTGTGGGTTTGTATACTGGACTTATCTTCTTTATCAGGGCCGGTCTTGAGTTTTCAAATGCCCAGGGCAAAATTTCAAATGGTGCCCTTTGTACATTGATGAATAGAAATTGTTTTTACAAACTAATTAATTTTATTAATGATGGTAAAATATATGTGGACTAAAAAAGGATTACAACTGAAGGGGAGGAAACTTATGGGATCAAAGAGCACAACTGAATACATAAACAATCCCAAGATTAAATTCAAAATAAAATAAATTGAAGAGCTATAGATTGAGAGATCACCTTCTAACACTCAAAATCCTAGATGACAAAAGATATAAGCATTTGTGCATATTACACCCTATTCAAATGTTGAATTTATGGATTTATTTGTTCTTACGTTATTGTTTGTAATGAACCAGCTAAGACTAGAACTAGCTCATAGGCTATATAAATTACAGTTGTTATAGTAGATGTGTGTTTTAAGTTGTGCACATGTTGTGCATGTGAGTTGAGTCATGTTGAAAGTGTGATTGGGTTTGCAACGGTTATCTTACTCATTCCTATTTGCTAAGTAATCGAATCTAAGAGGAGCAATGTATTTCATCTTCCTTGATCAACTAATTCAAATTTGCATCGATTTTCAATTTTAAATTTATAAAATCAAAGCCTGATTCGAATACAAAACACTAACACCTTTTGGCAGTGGTGCGGTTCCAAAAATCAAGATGACAAGGTTTTGAGTTTAGATGTTAACTAGCAATTGAGGCCCGCGCGATGCTGCGGGTTTCAAAATGATCTTAAACGTGTAAAAAGTAGGGCTTATATACATGAGAAAATATGTGCCAAAGAGTAGGGTTGTATACATATATTACATGACAAAAATTGGGATGGTCGTACACCATAGCCAGAGAGTTCTATTTACATTCATATATTACATGCAAAAAGTTGAGGATGACATACTAACATCCTCTTCAATTTTGAGATTTTTGCTTAAGAGACTCTTTTAGCCAAAAAAGTGCACCGCAATAAATGCACTTTAATTCTTGTCTCCCATATCCACATATTCCACAATATTGCCTATTTAATAAAAATACATGCGGGAAAGGAAGAAAAAGAAGACAAAAATACAACTTATTAGTGACAGAGTAATAAGTTCAATAGACAATTACCTTGTTGGTTTTTTTTGAAAATTGGCTTGACCTTTACTAATTTGATTTGAATTATCAAATGTAACGACATTGGCACTTGTTTGGACTGTGTTTATATTGTTGGAACACACATTGTCAACAATTTTTTGTCTTTTGTCTTGATGTTCAAAGCTTGGTTTTTCACAAACTTGTATGCCACTGGAAGAACCAACAATATGGCATTCTTGTATTATTTGATTGTGTTTGCTAGTTCTACACCCTCTTAACATGGCATAAAAAAAATTCAAACTCCAAGCAATAGATAATTCACTGAGAAATCTAAAAAAAAAAAAATCAAAAAAAAAAAAAGTCGTCAATTATTAAATACTTAACAATAAGTAAACTAAAATGAAGCAAAACACATAAATCACATTTGAAAACTAACACCGAATGCAGAAACGCTTGCAATAAAGTTCCTATTCAACTGTTGATGATGATTCATATTCTTTGTCTACTCAAGTTGTATGCCTATGTTTACCCTTCATTTTAATTATTCATCTCAGTATTCATTGCACCACAGAGTACTACCAAGCAAATACACATTATACAGTCTAATTTTTTTTAGTCATTTTTCAGGTTCCAGAAGCTGCAAGCTTTAACTCAATTCACTTTGCTATCAAAGTAAAGGACCAGTGGACATATTTCTTAGTGTTCAAGAGGCCGACGGCCAATGAGACGTTAGCCATACAAATAGGACCCAAACAATTTGATTAATTGCTATTTTTATTCCTACTTAACAAACCAATTTGAATGGCTTCAAACTCAAAAATTGCAAAATTTTATAGAATTTTTTTGGTCATACCTTATTTCAAACACGTTGCTCTGTTCTTCCTGCGGCTGTGGAACAACTCCTCCACCAACACTGATTTACAGAATCTGTTTGAAGCCTAAAGATTATGAGTCAACCTGGAGATGTGATAAAAGATCTCAGAAATTAAATGAATAATACCTTTTACTGGAGACTACAAATATGTACTTCCTGAGCAATGTCTTTTATCAAATCTAAATTAACCTACACTTAATTAATATAGTAGGGAAGAATAAAAATGAAGAGCTATGGAAAAAAGTGATAAGAATGCCTATATATTTAGTGTCAAGAAAAAAATCCCATTTTTTCTTATACCTAATAGAAATGTCATTACTGGACTGCAATTTAGGTACAATTTGAAAGATCAAACTCAAATATTAAAATACTCAAGCACTCATCATTCAGATACTACTTGAAACATTAAATTTAAACACTAAATCACTCAAACACTGAAATGCTGTCACATTGAACTCTACATTCCTTTCATCCTTGCAGAACTAATCCAATTTGATTAGAAACTAATTAATTGATATTTTCTCATTAAACTAAGTTGTAAAATAGCACCACATAATGGGTGGAGGACCATTGCCCCGTTATGGAGATATATGAACTCTCTTTATCTCACACATTATCAACTGACATGATGAGCGATGAGAAGATCCGTAAAGGAACGTATTCATATTGTAAATTAAAGATACAATTTCTAAATACTGTAAAATTTTGTAAAAGATTATTGAGCAAAGCAATTGAGGTGTCAAATCACCGATCATACCCTTACATACATGGTTACCAGACACTCACTTCCTCTTTTCTTTGTTAACAATAAGTAAACTAAAATGAAGCAAAACACATAACAGTCACATTCTAACACCGAATGCAGAAACCAATATCAATAACGATTCAAAGAACCTCAATTTACTATCTTGTACAATTCAAACTATATTATAGGATGTTAAATCTTTAGGCTATTTTTTTATGACAGAAAATAAAATAATTTGAAGCTAAATTGATTTAAGTGTTAAATTTTTAGGCATTACCAATGTACCATATCAACAGTCATCACTTAAAGTAACCTTTACAATTATGCTTGCATAGAAAGTTCCTATTCAGCTGTTCACGATGAGCTATACTCTTCGTCTACTCAAGTTGTATAGTGTCATAATGCAACTACAAAAAACTAGGAGAATGAAACTTCTAAGAGTTTGAACCCTACCAAAAGTTGGTTAGTAATTAGTTCCTGGGAAAATTACTAATCTTTAATTAATTGGTATTTTATTCCTACTTAACAAACCAATTTGAATGACTTAAAACTCAAAAATTGCGAAATTTTATAGAAAAGTTTTGGTCAGACCTTATTTCAAACACATTGCTCTGTTCTTCCTGAGGCTGCGAAACAACTCCTCCAGCAACACTGATTTACAGAATCTATTTCAAGCCTAAAGAGTATGAGTCAATTTGGAGATTTGATATAAGATCTCAAAAAATAAATGAATAATATTCAGATAAAATAAAATCATATCAAAAGAACCCACAACTTTAAAAGAAAAATTGTCCTAACTAGAAACTTAAACGATGAATTCTAAAAAAAAAAAGTAAATCGATCTGATAAAGATGTGAGTAAATTAATTTCATAAATATGAAATCATCACCATGCCATTCCAAATACCACTTTTGGTATGACGACGAACATAAGGATGCCTAATACTACCTTTCCAAAGTGCAGAAAGAGAGAGAATACAATTGGGGTAAATTTCGAAAATCCTCGTCAAAACAGTAATGAATCGGGACATGCAACATGTGTTTCTTGTTCCTGCGATTAAAGGGAGATGATTGGCAAAACATAATTAACAAAACATCAAAAACTCCCACACAGATTCATTCATCAAACCCCCCAAAAAAATAAAAAACCACAAACGTAAAAGCAAAAACGCAGAAAAACTTCATCAAAACGACGACTAAAGACACCCAAAAAAACCAAATCGGGAAATCAAAAGGGCAAGTATCAACAAAGAACTCACCCAAATGGAATCCAGTGGAGAGAACGAACCACCGGGAGATGAGGAAAACGGCAACGCAAGGAGAGGGGCGATGTGATTTTTGGGTGATGGGTGTCAGATTTCTCGCTGAAGGGAAAAGGGAAGGGAATTTAAGCCATATTTTGATGTTGGAAGAAAATGAAGCAGGAAGAAGAGGTATTTGTGGGTGCGATTCCAGCTGTCGATATGTATTTTGATGAATGGCAAACTTAAAGTAATACAAACTTACTGGGGGCAAAATAGGAAGCATACTGTGCTTATGAACAGTGATACAGTTGATTTTGAGTTTTAGTATAGATTGAATTTGATGCTCCATGAAATTTTTTTGGCTTTGAATCACTAATGAGATAGAGAAAGAAAGTTTAAATTTGAAAGTTTTTAGAAAGGAGGCATTATTTATTTACTAATTTTCTTGAAAAAGGGAAAGACTGTTCATTTGATTTTTTTTTTTAAATGAATGGACTAAAAATATTTTTTCTTAAAAAAGGAAAAGAGTGTTCATTTGCTATTTTTTTCATTTTTAATATATATTATGGACTAAAAATAATTGAAAAATAGTTTGGTGCCCTTAGAAAAAAAAATGCATGTGTTTGCTGAATAATTTAAAATGAAAAGAAAGGAGAGACATTACTAGGAATCGAGAACCCACAATCTCATAAATAATAAATACCATTGCTACTAAAGAAACAATTTGATAATTAATCAAACTATTTACTATTTACACGAATGTAACATAAACTCATATAAAGTACCCTAATATTTTTGGTGTCTCCAATTTTTTGGGGCTCGGATGGTCGCCTTGCGTGCACTAGGCTTGGGCTGGCCCTGTTCTTTGTGTTTGGTGAATCTAAATTACTATGTATGTTTGAGATATGGTGTTGAGGAAGAGGCTAGATTTTGGATTTAATGACTTCCAGATCAAACAGTGATTCCATTACGTAATTATCTGAATTTATTCTAAAGTATTTGTCTTCTGTATTTCTACAATGATGGTTCAAGGGCTGTAATTAGTATTTTAATCATTTGTTAGTATGTTTTCTAAATAAAAAAACAATTCTTAAAAAAAATCATGATTTGTTCACTATTTGATTTTTCCACATGCTGTTTGTTTCTCAATATGTTACTATTTGTTAGTGTTTCGATATTTTTGTATTTAATTGATTACGTTTGTGTCTTTACAGTTTTAAAAGGAAGTTTCAAGTGTTTCCAAATTCAGGACAACAAGCTATACACTTCTAGAAGCTGTTTATAGTTGTGGTCCAGTTTTGATTATGCCCAATTTTTATTTTAAACTTAAATTAAAAAAAATGATTTAGGGTTATTGAAACTTTAAAAACACGTCCTGCAATTAAATGCAAAGATTGTGGGGTCTAAGAAGAGAAGAAAATGGAAATAGTAGCACAATACTACTACTACTACTACTAATAGCATCACGAAATTGACTTTTGGGTAAGCTTCCATTGTCACATCCCAGACTGGCTCCGCTGTAGCACGATATTGTCCGTTTTGGGCTTACCATTCCCTCACGGTTTTGTTTCTGGGAACTCACGAGCAACTTCCGAGTGGGTCACCCATCCTAGGATTGCTCTCACTCGAACTCCCTTAACTTCAAAGTTCCGATGGAATCCGAAGCCAGTGAGTTCTCAAAAGGCTTTGTATTATAGGGAGGAGAGCATGTACATATAAGACACATCACCCCCTCTCTATTGGTCGATGTGGGATCTCACAATCCACCCACTTAAGGGGAACCCGGCATCCTTGCCGGCACATTCGTACTGAGCGGGAAAGTGGCTCTAATACTAAATTGTCACATCCCAGTCTTGGCTCTGCCGTAGCACGATATTGTCTGCTCTGAGCTCCAGCCACGCCTTCACGGTTTTCTTTGGGAACTCACACGAGAACTTCCCAGAATAAGTGACCCACTGGGAAGTTCTCATATGAGTTCCCAGAAACAAAACCGTGAGGGTGTGGCTGGAGCCCAGAGTAGACAATATCGTGCTACGGTGGAGCCAAGACTGGGATGTGACATCCACTCTCTACGTATAATGGGTAACTAGAGTTGTAAACATCGTTCTACATATATGTTGTTGAACACTTAAAATGGTTGCACATATATATAGAACTTTTTGCATGTTTAATATGCTTTCAAACATCGCAGCATCGTGCGGGCCACCTAATAGTGAATTGTGAAATTTGTTATGCTTATTGATGAACGAATTATATTTCTCGCAAGTGCACGAATCGATATGATAGTATAGCAAGCAAAAAGTGCACAGAGATTTGTAAAGTTACCTAATTCAGTCCAATTATGCAATACCCACAAGAATAAAAATAACGTAAACAACTAAACTACGAAATTCAAATAATTAACCAAAGAGAAGTTGATTTAAGATCAAGTAATCTAAAGTGCAGTAAATTGAAAAGAGAATTTGTGTAATTAATTTCTGAAAACAAAGGTTGAAACACTAGGTATCCGACTTCACCATATCAATCCAATTCTATGTCATTAGATAACTTAGTAAGAACAATTCAATTCAGGTTCTAGGGTTCGTTCTTTCTTTAGTATGATTGTCCGTTAGGCGTCCGGGTGTAACCAAGTACTTTTAATCATCAACTTAACCATGGCGTCTACTTTAAATCAGTAATAAAAATCCAATAAGTGCAAGAAGAACAAAGAGAGCCAAAAAGTGTCTTAGCATGGCGTTTGCATGAACAACAATTCATTCACCCAAGAGAGCTATCTCAAGGCTAAGCATACGGTGTCTACTATAACCTTGTCTCATACGTCTAAAAATTCATATCAAAGGTAGCTAATCAATAACATGATCATAAAGAATGATTTAAGCACAATGAATGAAACTAGAAACCTTTGAATTGATAAAAGAATAAAGTTAATAAGACAGAGAATCATCATGAAGGCTACATCGGACCCCTAGTAAAGAATTTAGTTACTCATAGCCAATTACAGAATGTCATAGTTATGAAAATCATAAATACAAAATCTGACAACGATATTGAAAGAGAACCCCTGGTGTCTGGCTTCCTCCTTACGTCAATCGTCTAAAACAATATGATGAAGTGAGTCTCTCTCCCACAACGTTGCTGCTCATCCTCATGTAAATAAACGTAAGAGGAAAATAGAGTTCAGGTCAGCCTTTGCCGCATTGTTAAATTCCAGCCTAAATAGGAGTCCCAATATTATTATCTTTCGGTTTCCTGACTCAAACTGAACTCCAATTATTCAGAATTGTGTAGAATTCATGAACTGACCTTCTCGCACTAAAACATGTATAATTTCTTCTAGAAGCATCAGAATCATGTCCTGTAAAATTCTCCTAAAACTAGACATCCAGAGCTTTCCGAACATATGTGGCACAACACCCAGTTCGTCCTGATGGATTTCTGACCACCCAACGAAAATGACAGTTCTGCGCAACACCTTCCAGCTCCAGTTATAATTTCCAAATAGCAACCATTAAATTGCAGATTAGCATCTGATGATCGTTGGAATACTTCTTGACTTCAGTTCTTCCCAACTTTGATCCCTTTTAGCCTTAAAATCACCAAAAGACTCCGAAGTCTTCTCTATGGTCCATTATCTACAAAATACGCACTAGACACCTCAAACAACCAATTTCACAAGAAAACATAGCATAAAACTTAGGAAATAAGGGCAATATAAATGTATAAATGATGTGCTATCACTTATTTGTACTAGTTTTGTATTAGTCTCCAATTTCCAAAAACAACCCAATTCAAAATTCAAATTTAACACAAAGTTAAGTAGTTTATTAGTGTTGGTATGGAAACGTTTAAAAATGACTAAGATTACTAAATGAATTTGTAAGAAATGGATTTAATCTCATTCTGTTGCTTACTGACTTTCAAAGATTTGAAAGTAATGAGTATGAATCCGATTCATGTGTTTACTAGCATCCAAAGAGTGGAAAAAATAAATTAATTTAGGTATCTCATATCTTCTCATACCTTAGAAAAATCTGGATACGGGACTCAATCCTTCATATCCATGATCCACGTTTTGTTGGGTTTTACAGCTCAAAATTAGGATGATGTAGAAATTAAGTTTATGTTACCTATTTTTGCTTGGTGTTCTATTTGGGTTTGGATTTGACTTCTTGGTTGGATTCCTTGCTTGGTGGAGAGATTTTGATAATTACCTATTTGATTAGGATTTGGATTTACTTCCTATTAGGATTCCTATGTAAACCTAAGTCCAATGCTCTATAAATAGGACATTAGGGTTTAGTTAATTTTTTTTTTGTGGCTCATTTGTGTGGCAATTTGGTAAGAGTAAATTTGTGTGAGTTAGAGAGCAACTTGGAAGAATCTTCTCCGTTAGTTTTGGGTTCTCTACTCGTTTGGTTTAGGGTTTGTAATTTGTGGGATTTGGGTTGTCAGAGTTTAAACACTCTTTTGTAATCTCCGTTTGTTTAGTGAAATTTCTCGCCGTGCTTCGCCTATGGACGTAGGCTTTATGCCGAACCACGCTAAATCTCTTGTGTTCTTATTTTTGAGATTTTTTGTTTTAGCTTTCACCTATGACGTTGATATTTGGTAATTTGTTATAATGCGCTTCTGCTTGTGCATATAAGTACAACAAGTGTTATCGAAGCTCAGGGTTCGGCTTGGGCTTTGCTTGCTAGTCACTATGAAGCCTTTTGTATCGTCGGCGAAAGTTGATATTGAAAAGTTTGACGGCGATAACTTTGGTATTTGGCAATTGAAGATGCGTGCTTTGTTGGTTCAACAAGGGCTTTTGAAAATGCTAAAGGGTGTGAAGGCTTTGTCGAAATCATGGACTGATGAGGAAAAGGAAGACGTTATGGAGCTGGCACTTGGAACAATCTTGCTGATTTTATATAATGAAGTCTTGTGTGAAGTTAGTAACATCAAATCTGCATCGAAGTTGTGGCTCAAATTGGAGAGCTTGTATTTGACTTCTTGATTGGATTCCTTGCTTGGCGGAGAGATTTTGTTAATTACCAATTTGATTAGGATTTGGATTTACTTCCTATTAGGATTCCTATGTAAACCTAAGTCCTATGCTCTATATATAGGACATTAAGTTTTTTTTTTGTTTTTTTTTTAAATTTTTTTTTATTTGGGTGTGTGTGTGGTTCATTCGTATGGCAATTTGGTGGGAGTAAATTTGTGAATTTGTA